TTTGTACCATATGGTTGGTTTCTATTTGAACCAACCTCTCTCTCTCTCTCTCTCTATATATATATATATATATAATATAACTTAATTAATATATATATATATATATATATATATAAAATAATAATAATGATAATTAAATATTAATTATATTATTAAATCGATTTGATGTTTATACATTTTAGGGTTTAGGGTTTTTTTTTGATAGGGAGGGGGGGAGACCCCTCCAGATCAAGTCAAAACACTAAAACGCTAAAAAGCAGCAATGAAGCGCTCAGGCAGGAGGAAACCTCAACTACCAGAAAATCCAAGGCACCCCGAGGGGAAAGAAAGAGGGAGACAAAGAAGAAGAAAGAAGAGAAGAGAGGGAAGATGAGAGAAAGAAGAAAGGGAAAAGAAGAGAAGAGGGAGGAGAAAGAAAGAAAGAGAGAGAGAGAGGGAGGGGAGAGAGAGGAGGGAGGAGAAAAAGAAAAAGAAGCCAACCACAAGGGAAGGACCCAACCAAGCCAAGACCGGGAAACAAACGGGGGACACCACAAGGGCAGGAAAAGGGGCCTAAAACAGGCACACCCTAGACCGCACCGAGAAAACCAAGAGAGCAAAGGAGCTCACACCACCAAAGACACAACACAAGAGACAAACAGCTAAGGGATGTTCCAGGCAAGCCGAGCCCGAACAACATTAGGAGAGGGCTTGAAGGTCAGGCTTAGGAGCCTGGACCAGACATCATCGATAATCGTCTTCACCACCATAATATTCGATCTTCGTTTATTCTTGAAGATGCGGTTATTCCTTTCCTGCCACAGGTGGTAGACAGTCCCAGCTAGCACTAATCTACGTATAATAGACCAGACGGTCTTTCCTTTGGTGGCTTGCTGGAACATACTAATAATATCAGCCCAGTTGTCCGGGACCCCAGTGAGGTTAAGCTTGGGTTTTAAGCCATTCCAAACCTGATTAGGAAACGGGCACTCAAAGAAAAGATGAGAATGCGAATCAGGCCCGTTTTGACAGAAAGCACAAGACAGGTTGGAGTGGCCCTCTCAAAACTGAAGCTTATCATGCGTCTTGAGACGCTTGAGGGCAACCCACAGAATAAAAGCATGTCTGAGAATATTTTGAGAAAACCAGACCATATGATGCCAGGAGACATCAGACTCATTTGGACGGAGGGAGAGCCAGACCTCATGAACGGAGAACGAAGTGAGACGGTCATCCCTGGTTCTCCAAAGGAGTTTATTAGGGACAGCAGGAGAAAGAACATGAAGAGCGGAATTACAGATTAAAGGGTTGGGGTTGTCCCTCAGGAGAGGGCAAGTCCAAATACCCTGGGAGATGATATCCTTCACAGGAGCACAGAGAGAGAGAGAGAGAGAGAGAGATTATAATTGAGAATATTGTGAAAAGAGATATGCCGGTAGAGGGGCCTAGCAGGATGCCAGTTATCATACCAGGCGGACGTGGAAGCGCCGTCGCCAATATGGGAAACAATGAAGTCTCTTATCTTTTCCTGCATGCCCAGGATCTTCCTCCAGCCCCAACCAACATCACTGCGAATCGAGGCATCCCAGAAGTTATGATCTTTGAGCCTGTAGGAGTGGATCCATTTAACCCATAAAAAATTCTTGTTGGTAAGGATCCTACAAGTGTGGGAGGCCATGAGGGCAAGATTCCAGCTGGCAAGGTTCTTAATACCAACCCCGCCTTGAGGCAGACAGTCTTCCAAGAGACCTTAGCTTTCCCTCTTTTGAGCTCACCATGGCACCAAAGAAAGCCTCACATGAGCTGCTCAATCTCCTTAGAAATAGACATCGGAAGAACGAAGATATAGGCCCAATAGATTTGCATAGAAGACATGATCGAAAGAATGAGCTGCAGCCTACCAGCAAAAGAAATGGACTTATTTTTCCAGTCATTGAGTCTGGATTTAACCTTGTCAACAAGGCCCTTACAGTCCCGGTGATAGAGGCGGGTAGTAATGAGAGGGACACCGAGATAACGAACCGGGAGGGAATCCTCCGAAAATTGAATGATGGTCTGAATCAGATTTTTAGTGTGTTGGCCGACATTACAGTAGAAGGCCTCGCTTTTGGCCGGACTTGGAAAGAGACCAGACACACTCGAAAACTCATCAAGAGAATTCTTTATGACACGGGCAGAGTCACTATCACCATGACAGAATATGAGGAGATCATCAGCAAAGCAAAGATGGATGATCTTCTGCTCCTCACAATTCGATGATAGGAAAAAGTGCCCATCTCACTAATTTTTCTTTTGGTCAAGAGGTTGAGGACCTCCATGACCAGGGTGAAGAGATAGGGGGGAAAGAGGATCACCCTGCCTAAGGCCACGACCACCCTTGAAATAACCATGGAGGTTTCCATTGATACTGACCGAGTAAGAGGCCGTGGAAACACATGACATAATCCATTTAATCATGGTAAGGGGAAAACCATAGCCAAAAAGGGCAGTGCGAAGAAAATGCCAATCAACGGTATCATAAGCCTTTTGGATATCAACTTTAAAGACACAGCGAGGGGACCCCGTTGCTTATGATAGCCGCGCATGAGCTCCTGGACGAGAAGAACATTATTAGTAATGAGACGACAAGGGATAAAAGCAGACTGGTTTAAGTCAACCAGAGAGGACATATGATCTTTTATGCGGTTAGCAATGAGCTTGCTAATGATTTTATAAATTACATTACAACAAGCAATAGGACAGAAATCGGTGACACGAGAAGGGGCAGCCGACTTGGGAATAAGGGCAAGGATAGTGCTATTAAGAGACTTTAAGATCTCACCATTCATGAAGAACTCACGAACAACGGAGCACACATCCCTGCCAACAATACTCTAATCGGCTTTAAAAAACTTAGAAGTGAAACCATCAGGCCCTAGAGCTTTATCATCTCCCATCTGGAAAAGGGCCTGCTTGATCTCGGAGTCGGTAAAAGGAGCAAGCATCATGGCAGCTTGATTGACATTAAGCTTTCTGGTGAAGAGGAAGGCATGATTATGAATAGGAAGGGAGGGATGAGCGATACCAAGGAAGTTTTCAAAATGAGAGACAAAGAGATGGGGGACCTCATCATTAGACACCCAGAGACCGTCAGCATTTTGAATGGTATCAATGCGATTCTTGCTGGTACGACTATTGACCTACTTATGGAAAAAAGAAGAATTTTGGTCTCCTTCACGGAGCCAATTGATCTTGGATTTTTGCTTCAGGAATCGCTCCTCATCAAGGCAGGCACTATTGTAGGCAGATAAATACCCACAGTGCTCCTCTCTGAGAGCCCCATTATCAGGATCCCTATCAAGAGTGATCTGGACCCTGTCAAGCTCAAGCCGTAACTTAGAGACTTTGGAATGAAGATTACCCTGATCATTAAGCATCTTACGAAGGGGTCCTTTGAGATTTCTAATATTTTGAGAAATCTTATACATCTCACGACTAGTAAGATCAGGGCACCAATTGGAAGACACAACATTCAAAAAAGGCTCTTTATACATAAGAAGATTGGAGAACTTGAAAGGCTTGGGTTTACGAGGAGAACAAGAAGGAAGAGTAAGGACCGCCGGGCTATGATCGGAAGACCGATAGGGGAGGAAGACAACAGAAGCAGAAGGGAAGCGAGCAAGGGAATGAAGATTGCCCAAGACACGGTCAATCTTTTTGAGAAGACCTCCCGTACCGTTGGGGTTTTTAGTCCAAGAAAAGTACATACCCTTGAAATTGACATCCTCCACCTCAAGGTGTCGGACACACTCACGGAAATCATCCATACCACGATTAGGGCCCGAAAAGCCAGAGGAGCTGTCCTTCGGGTCAAGGGCAACATTGAAATCGCCCATGATGAACCATGGGGTGTCCTTAACGACATGCTTATGACCCTTAAGAGAAGCCCATAACTGGCAACGAGCAATATGGTAATTATTCGCATACACCACAGAAAGAAAGATAATCTTAGAGGAGTCCCGGATCTTAACCTGAAAATGCATCACCTGATCGGTGGCATTTAAAAGCATCATGTCGACATGGACGAGGTTCCATGCAACAATGATACGGGTTCCTCTAAGGCAAAGGGAACCATTAGAGGCCCAGGCCCAAGACCCAAAGACTCTCTTATAGATGGAAGGAAGACTAGACACAGAGGCGCTAAGACTCGAGAGCAACACAAAATTGAAGGTTGGATTCCCGAATGAGATCTCTCAAAGCTCTCTGATGGGAGAGATTACAGAGACCACGGGTGTTCCACGAGGCAAAGCTCGTCATTGGGAAAAGGGGGTGGGGGTGAAGTCCATCTACTCGGGCTCCTGAGATATCAAATAATCAACATGGGGTAGAGGGAGATCATGGGCAAGGAATCGAGCGGAGTCACTGTCATCCGACTCAACCTCAATCATCTTAACCTCATCAAGGAGGTCATCCTGATCAAGGAGATCATCCTTGGTCTCAAGAGGAGTAGAGGAGGGAGGGAGGGAGGGAAGAGAAGGAATACCCAGAATCTCTAGGAAGAGACGGGTCAGAGAGAAAAGAAAAGCGGTTAGAAGAAGGATCGGGAGCCTTGGATTGCTTCCGGGAGGAGGGGGTGGGTATGAGGGTTTGGGGGATAGGCGGGAAAGGATAGGGGGCCTAGGGGGAGAGGGCGGAGGGCTAGGGGATAAACCCATGGGGGCGGTCACCATTCCTTTCATCTTCTCAACTGCTTGCTTCCCGTTAGATGCAGGGGGGCGGGTTTCCTTCTTCTTGTACTCTTTTCTTGCAACGGGAGTTGGCGCCTTATGCTTTTGTCTTTGCCTTTGAACACGAGTCTGAAATACCTCACTATCTATTATGATATTCTTTCCCGAGGTGGAATGCTCTTTTGTGGGTTGCACATTCATATCATTCTTAGACAAAGCGTGTAAACAAGTAGAGTCAGAGTGTCCAAAAATATGACAGTTAATGCATATAGAAGGTTTCCATTCATATTCGACACGTAAAGTATATAAAGTCATATCAAGAGAATCCGGGTCAAGGATACCAACTTTAACCTCATCAATCCAACTATTCCTAAAAGGCACCTCAAGCAAAACACGAGCAAACGCAGATTTGCCAGCAACATACTTACACATATTAGCAGTCCAAGAGTCCATAGCTAGAGGGACACCTATTTTACTCGCTATGTGGCTAAGGCACTCATCATTCCAAGCATCGTAGGGGATGTCATGGATTTTCACCCACATAGGAATTTTATCATGTTTTTTCGAGTTAGGATTAAGACCGGGTCTCCATTTCTGGATAAAGATAGGGACATTTTTAAAAGTCCAAGGTCCATTATCTATGACTTTTTGGAGGCCACTTTCATTATTAAATTTGAACAAATAAATACCATGGCCATTTAAAAGCACATCCTCTATACCAAATTGAGCCCAAATTTTAGAGGCAAAGTATCTAACAACAGGGAAGGGGAGACCTTTACCCACAAAATAACCGCATAAAGTTTTGGCATAGGTAACACAACTCTTTTGCACAACCGAAAGAGGAATATCAACGGAAGCATTCATATCATCACTAAGATCAGAAATAAATTTGAAATTAGCATTGGAATGCTTTTGAGAGCCACTTAAAACATTTGCAAAAGAGTTAGGGAGAATACTAATGTTTTTACCGTTCCGAACCGAAGAATTTTTTTCCTTTAAAATAGAATCATTTTGCATTTTCTTAACAAATTGATTTTTACTAGAATTTTTATCATTAAAAAAGGAAGGCAAATTATCTTTCAATCCCAATAGCAAAGGGGGGGAAGCATGTAAAGAGGGGGAGGGGGATGCATTGGGTAAAAAAGGTTGGGAAACAGAAACATTGGGGGGGGGGGTTCTGCATAAAATTAGAAACAAGAGGGGGAGAAAGAGTAGAGAAGATCATACCTGGGCTTGGGCCCTTACCGAGAATAGAAGGCATACACGAAATGGTATCCTTTTGGGCCTGGTTTGAGAAGGAAACGTTGCTTGGGCCTGCAGGAGATTGAGCATGGGCTGAGGGAAGTGGACCAAGCAAGGAAGGGGAGACTTGGGCCCGACATCTATTATCTTCATTTTGCAAGTCCACAACCATGTGGGCTTGAGTACTCTCAGAAAAGTCCACATCCCTTTGAATGGGCTGCAAAGAAATAATCCCACCAGCGACAAAGGAGGGTCCACATTCAAGGGGCTCAATACCATGCATGGAGGCGGTATTTTTAAAGAGCCATACTTATTTTTTAAATTAACAATGGAAGACCCAGCAGGTACGATCATACACTGTTGGTCAACAGTGTCTACCAACTTTGTAGAGAGAAGAGTACCTTGGTCAATGTCCATAAGACCCATATCCTTTTCATGTGTACGAGAGTCATCATCATTTCCTAATAAAATAATATTAAGCAAGTTATTATCCATAGGACAATGAAGCCCATCCTTCCTAGAGCCTTCCACCATACTGGCACATTTAATGCTATCCTGAACCAAACCCTTTTCCTTCCCCTCCAAAGTAGGTAGCATGCAGACCTTTTCCTTCTTTTCATCTTTTCCAACACCCACCTTTTTATCCAAAGTCCCATCCCCAACTATGGCAGACCCATCCCCATTCTCCACCCAACGGCTATGAAGAGGAACATTGAAAAAAGACGAAATGTCTTCCTTGTTAACTGTACACTGCAGGTTTCCAAAAACCATCAACGGTTTTGGGTTTTGAAAAACGACCGTTGGATCATCGTGGCTGCAGACTTCCGTAGCGCCGGCCGGCTTCAGAAGATCGATATGCTCAGTTCCAATGAGACCAAGACCGGTATCATCATGGGAGAAAGCCATATAACTTTCAGATATAGCGATGGGGTGGCTAAAACGGTAGGAGGGAGGTCAAGAGAGGACGCAGCTGCTGTCGCCGGCGACTGGGCAGAACCTATTTGCGGCGAAGAATCCGGCAACCCATCAATCGACTGCAACTTCTTAGAAGACCCAGAAAGGTAAACCTTGTGGGGAGGAATAGATTGGTTTTTACATAAAGCAGCAGCAAGTCCATTACTCACTGGATTAGAAGACCCAAAATCAAGCTGAACCATATTGCTGTTTGCATGCACTAAGGAAGCAACGAGTCCTTCTTTCACCAGGGACTTTGAGAAAATGGAGGGAAGGGCAATCTTTTCTCTATCATCATCTTCCTCTTCCCCCATATCTCCAGAAGATGCATCATGCTTCCATCCTATATTAAACTCCAAAGCATCGAGGACCTTGGTGGGGGACGAAAGATTGCTGATTTTTCCATCACCATCATCCTTTAACACATAACTAACAGATCTTGGAACAAGGCGATGATTACTCGTCTTTTCCAACCTTCGTAACTTGCAATTTTCTTCAAAATTTTCAACTTTTCCATGGAGAGAACTAGGAAGAGGATTGGAGAATTTCACATGATGAATTGGCATACTAAATTTTCTTGTTTTCCTATGCATAGATTTCTCCATAACAAGTTTCAGATCATCCATGGAAGAGAAACACCAAGAAGAAAACAAAAACAACTACAAAAGCTAGAGAGAAATTTTTTTAGAGAAAGAAAGTAAAGAGAGGTTTCACTTGGGGTTTGGGGTTTAGGGTTTTTTGATAAGGAGGGGGGAGATCCCTTCAGATCAAGACAAAACATTAAAATGCTAAAAGCAACAATGAAGCGTTCAGGTAGGAGGAAACCTCAACTATCAGAAATACCAAGGCACCCCGAGGGGAGAGAAAGAGGGAGACAAAGAATAAGGAAGAAGAGAAGAGAGGGAAAAGGAGAGAAAGAAGAAAGGGAAAATGAGAGAAGAGGGAAGAGAAAAAGGAGAGAGAAAGAGAGAGAGAGAGAGAGGAGGGAGGAGAGAGAGAAAAAGAAGCCAACCACAAGGGAAAGGCCCAGCCAAGCCAAGACTGGGAAACAAACGGGGGACACCACAAGGGCAAGAAAAGGGGCCTAAAACATGCACACCCTAGACCGCACCGAGAAAAACAAGAGAGCAAAGGAGCTCACACCACCAAAGTCACATCACAAGAGACAAACAGCTAAGGGAGGTTCCAGGCAAGCCGAGCCTGGACAACATTAGGAGAGGGCTTGAAGGTCAGGCTTAGAAGACTGGATCGGATATCATCGGTAATCGTCTTCACCACCATAATATTCGATCTTCGCTTATTCTTGAAGATGCGGTTATTTCTTTCCTGCCACAGGTGGTAGACAGTCCCAGCTAGCACTAATCTACGAATAATAGACCAGACGGTCTTACCTTTGGTGGCTTGCTGGAATATACTAATAAGATCAGCCCAGTTGTCCGGGACCCCAGTGAGGTTAAGCTTGGGTTTTAAGCCATTCCAAACCTGATTAGGAAACAGACACTCAAAGAAAAGATAAGAATGTTAATCAGGCCCATTTTGACAGAAAGCACAAGACAGGTTGGAGTGGCCCTCCCAGAATCGAAGCTTATCATGCGTCTTGAGACGCTGCTTGAGGGCAACCGACAGAATAAAAGCATGTCTGGGAATATTTTGAGAAAACCAGACCATATGATGGCAGGGGACATCAGGCTCATTTGGACGGAGGGAGAGCTAGACCTCATGAACAGAGAACGAAGTGAGACGGCCATCCCTGGTTCTCCAAAGAAGTTTATTAGGTACAACAGGGGAGAGAACTTGAAGAGGGGAATTACAAAATAAAGGGTTGGGGCTGTCCATCAGGAGAGGGTAAGTCCAAATACCCTGGAAGATGATATCCTTCACAGGAGCAGAGAGAGAGAGAGAGAGAGAGAGAGAGAAAGATTAAAATCGAGAATATTACGAGAAGAGATATGCCGGTAGAGGGGGCCAGCAGGATGCCAGTTATCATACCAGGCGGACGTGGAAGCGCCGTCGCCAATCTGGGAAACAATGAAGTCTCTTATCTTTTCCCGCATGCCCAGGATCTTCCTCCAGCCCCAACCAACATCACTGCAAATCGGGGCATCCCAGAAGTTATGATCTTTTAGCCTGTAGGAGTGGATCCATTTAAC